ATCAACCTGGAATCGGCGATGCATCGCCGATAGATCGGCGATAGTCCCCCGACAGTGAATCCGCACCTTCCTGGGCAGGTTGGGGCCAGCGGGCCCCTATCGGCGATCAATGTGCAATTGGGGGTCGATGAATCCCTCCTATGCCTATCCCCCCCTATCGTTGCCCCCCGAAAGCCCCAACGGCGCCGATCGCAGACCACACTCTGGCGTGACCGAATCCTTGGTGAGCCCCGACCGCCATCGCCGGGGGATGCCATCAAGTCGAGCATGCCCTCCTACAGGCGGATGGATTGTTCGACTATGTTTGACTACACCTCCTGAAGAGGAACAGGCCCGACTTCCAAGGCAGGTTTTAATACATCGGATTATTTTAAATATGGTTTTTTTAATACATTATTAATTTAGGAATAAATGTATGCATGAGCTCATCGTTGTTTTTAATACTAAACCCCTGCATTTTTAATACAGGATCCGCACACGCGGATCATGTATTAAAAACGGCACTGTAAGGACAACAACAGCTGATCTCCTGGCCGCCTTGGCCCTCGGGCGGGCCCCGGCACCCCGCCCAGGGGGGATGGACAGGCTCAGGGGGGGGGCGCATCGGCCCCCCGTCGCCCATGGATCGCCGATGAGGGGCCCGATAGCCAACCCCGCCCAGGATCGAGGAGGAGGAGGAGGAGGAGGAGGAGGAGGAGGAGGTGAGAGGTGAGGAGGAGGAGGAGAGGAGGAGGGAAGGAGGAGGAGAGGAGGAGAGGAGGAGGAGGAGGAAGGAGGGAGAGGAGGAGGAGGAGGAGGAGGAGGGGAGGAGGAGGAGCTCCGGGGCCGAGGAGGAGGAGCGGAGGAGAAGGAGCTGCGGTTCCGAGGAGGAGGACAGGAGGAGGAGGAGGAGGAGGAGGAGGAGGAGGAGGAGGAGGAGGGGGAGGAGGAGGGGGAGGAGGGGGACAGGCTCAGGGGGGGGGCGTATCGACCCCCAGTCGCCCATGGATCGCCGATGACAGGGGAACGAAGAATGGCATGAACACAACAAACTCGGAGGTCCGCGCGATTTCTCGGATCCGCGCTGGGGCCCTCTGGCGGCGCCTCCAACGCCGCCCTGGGCGCTCTCCGCGAGCCAGGGCGGGGGGTCCAGCGCGGATCTGAGAAATCCGCGCGGACCTCTGCGTGTTTATGTGTTCATGCCATTCTTCGTTCCCCTAGATAAGGGGGCCTGACAGGCCCACCCCGCCCAGGAACTTGCGGTTTCGCTACCGGGGTCTCGTCGCCGATGCATCGGTTAGGTCGGGCATGTCCTCCTACAGGCGGGCTTTGGGCGTAAGCTTAAAAACGAATGCCCCAAACATATGGAAACATACTCCAAAACAAATCGACACCCCCGCATTTTTTATAAACAACTATGTTTTGCATATTCTTCCTGTAGAGGGACATGCCCGGCTTACTGATAGCCCACCCCGCCCAGGAACGTACGGTTTCGCTATCAGGGACCTGCCGCCGATGCATCGACGACGCATCGCCGCTTCCAGGTCGATGTTCTTTCTCCCCTGCGCCCGTCCCCGCCCTGTCTGAAGGGGCCCGGGGACGCACAATAAATAGACGCAAGTCGCAGGATTCCTGATTTTTCCCAGCCATCCTGTGGTGTTGGGTCCTCGTTTTGAAGAGACCACGCCCCGCGTCCTCCCTCCTCCTCCTCCTCCTCCTCCTCCTCCCCCCTCCCTCCTCCTCTCACCCGTCATCATCACCATCATCGTCATCATCATCGCCGATATCAGCACCATCACCCCTCACACGCTTCGTGGCCCCAGAGGGAGCTCCACCGAAGGCCCCAGTACTGCCGGCCGCATGCGTCCCGCACGCCCAATTCGGCACACCCCTCACACGGATCGTGGCCCCATAGGGAGCTCCACCGAAGGCCCCAGTGCTGCCGTCCGCATGCGTCCCGCACACCCAAATTCGGCACACCCCTCAGACGTTTCGTGGCCCCATAGGGAGCTCCACCGAAGGCCCCACTGCTGCTGGCCGCATGCGTCCCGCACACAAAATTCGGCACACCCCTCACACGCTTCGTGGCCCCATAGGGAGCTCCACCGAAGGCCCCGGTGCCGCCGGCCGCATGCGTCCCGCACACCCAATTCGGCACAGCCCTTACACGTTTCGTGGCCCCATAGGCAGCTCCACCGAAGGCCCCACTGCTGCTGGCCGCATGCGCCCCGCACACCCAATTCGGCACACCCCTCATACGCTTCGTGGCCCCATAGGGAGCTCCACCGAAGGCCCCAGTGCTGCCGTCCGCATGCGTCCCTCGCACCCAATTCGGCATTCCCCTCACACGCTTCGTGGCCCAATAGGGAGCTCCACCGAAGGCCCCAGTGCTGCCGGCCGCATGCGTCCCGCACGCCGATTTCGGCATTCCATTCCCCTCACACGCTTCGTGGCCCCATAGGGAGCTCCGCAGAAGGCCCCACTGCTGCCGGCCGCATGCGTCCAGCACGCCCAATGCGGCACACCCCTCACACGCTTCGTAGCCCCAGGGAGCTCCACCGAAGGCCCCAGTGCCGCCGGCCGCATGCGCGCCGCACATCCAATTCGGCACACCCCTCACACGTTTCGTGGCCCCATAGGGAGCTCCACCGAAGGCCCCTGTGGCGCCGCCCGCATGCGTCCCGCACACAAAATTCGGCACACCCCTCACACGCTTCGTGGTCCCATAGGGAGTCCACCGAGGGCCCCAATGCCGCCACCCGCATGCGTCCCGCATACCCAATTCGGCCACTGAAGGCCCCAGTGCCGCCGCCCGCACGCGCCCCGCACACCCAATTCGGCACACCCCTGACACACTTCGTGGCCCCATAGAGAGCTCCGCAGAAGGCCCTAGTGCCGCCGCCCGAATGCGTCCCGCACACATAATTCGGCACACCCCTTACACGTTTCGTGGCCCCATACGGTGCTGGTGGTCCCGACAGCCAGCTTCCCTAGGGCCGATTTCTTCGCAGCCTTGAACTTTGGAGTGCGCGAGCAAAGAGGAAGGAAAAGAAGGGGAGGAAGCGGGCGCGATCCTCGTGTGGGGCGTGCCGACGGGGGTCCCAGGGCAACTTCTTGCGGAGGCCACGCTCAGTGTCAAGAGTTCCCAGAGTCAGGCAGAGGCAGACCCAAACCATTCATAGTTTTTATGCATTGACATTAGGCGACTCCATGCTCGCAGTCATGCAAATAGAATCCATCGCACGCATATTCATTCAGAATCAGACTCACTCGCGCTTAGACTCGCCCGCGCTCAAGCTTTCATACTCAGACCTATCGTTTTCGCTCGTGTTGTGTACCCTATCGCACAATTCGGCACACCCCTCATACGGTTCGTGGCCCCATAGGGAGCGCCACCGAAGAGTATATTCACACTTGCGGTATTCACAACTGCGTATGGTTGGGTCCTTCGCCAGGCTAATTTTCAAAAAAGGTTTGTTGGGCTTTCGTTGTTCCTCCCACTTCCTATATTTTTCCATGTTTTCCTGAGGATCGACGATAAATTGTGTCTATGTTTTTTCCCCCTCCTGACTGTCGTTGTTCCTCAACCAACCTCCCTGGGAAGACCAAAAGGTAAGCTTATCACTACTCCCCGGACCTCTCCCCGGATGCGTTCTGAATGTCGAGGCGAATCCAGCGGTGGCGACGAGGACCTCCCGAGAGGCCCCCCAAAAAAGGAAAACGGGCGGAGGGAAGCGGTACGGGTACCTTTCCCCCGGGTCAATGCAACCCCAAGTCAATCAGGCTTTGCAGGCTCCTACAAAATCCGGCACGCAAGCCAAGGTCAGTGCAATAAGACACAGCCAGGACGAGGATAAAATGGATTAAGGATAGATAAAGAATCTCTGAGATCCGGCGGCTTTGGAAAATGTTTCGGGCGCCGCGGCCTTCTCAGAACTTTCCGGAACGCACTGAGCGTTCCAGCACGCCCTGGAACGGATTTACCCTCGTCCTGGGCCCGTCCGGTGCAGCCCTGGCTCTGAAGGATCCTGCAAGATCCGGTGCCATGGCTGACCCCTTTCTTGCCGTCGCTCGGACGCCCATTCCCGGGTACATTGTTCGATTCCGTGCTTTTACTGTTTCGCAAGATGATCCAAGATGTTGGACGTGCGAAGTGGGTACGGAAAAACTGGGCACCATACCCTACAGGAAATGTTATCCACAACTGACAGCGGCCGCTGTTGGGCAGACGACCTTCTGTCTCCAATGGACACCGTCCGCGGCGACACCGACAGCGACTCCTGCTCAAAATGGACCAGAACTGCTGTCGGTCTTTGTACCCATACTTTTTGTACCCATTTGGATCATCCCGGAATATGCTCCTCGAGGTGGCCACAAAAAATGCACACGTCCGAGCGATGCCACGGTTTATGTTGTCCCCACCGTGCCTAAAGACCACATCCCAGCAACGATTCTGAGCACCCGGAAGAGTGTCGAAACAGTGTCGAGCGAGTCTCGCCTCCCAGGGCCCGCCACGTGACAACCCTCAAGCTTCGGTACTTTCCTTGTGCTCTCAAGTTTCTCTGGTGGTCGAGGCTAAAGTGGGTTGGATCATCATTCGGGGATGGGCAGACCTCCCTTTAGTAAAACGTGATTTAGTGAAAACGACCTGAGGCCCAAACCTGGCGGGCGCAAGCCTGGAAAATGACGGCCGCGGCGCCCTCTCGAGAACCGAAAACGCACAAATCACTAATCGACGTGTCACTGTTGGGGGGTCTGTCCGCCCCCGAATCATGAGCCAAGGCCCCTGGCGCTCCCTGGGCCGCAGCAGGCCAGGCCGGCGTTTCCGGCGGCGCGCGGTCGATAGCTCCTCCTCCTCCTCCTCCTCCCCCTCCTCCTCCTCCTTCTCCCCCTCCCCCTCCTCCTCCTCCTCCTCCTCCTCCTCCTCCTCCTCCTCCTCCTCCTCCTCCTCCTCCTCCTCCTCCTCCTCCTCCTCCTCCTCCTCCTCCTCCTCCTCCCCTCCTCTCTCTTCTCTGGGCGGCCTCGTCGATGGCCACCGTCCGCACGCGGCCCAGGCGGAGGGCCCCGCGGGCGACGCCCTCGAGCAGCCCGTCGGGCGTGCCGACGGCCACCCGCGCCTGCCGCCGCTGGAGTCTCTTTGGCTTCGGTGCCCCCCACATGGCCTCTCGGCGGTGAATCGGACTGGTCATCGAAGCTCATCTTCCTCCTCCTCGCTTCCTCCTCCTCCTCCTCCTCATCGCTCCCTCCTCCTCCTCCCTCCTCCTCCCTCCTCCTCCTCCTCCTCCTCCTCCCCTCCTCCTCCTTCCTCTCCTCCTCCACCTTCTCCACCTCCTCCCTCTCCTCCTGCTCGCTCCTACCTCCTGCTCGCTCCTCCTCCTCCTCCTCCCCCTCCTCCTCCTCCTCCTCCTCCTCCTCCTCCTCCTCCTCCTCCTCCTCCTCCTCCTCCTCCTCCTCCTCCTCGCCTCTCCTCCCTCCACCTCCTCCTCTTATCCTCCTCGCCCTCCTCCTCCCTCCTCCTCCCTCCCTCTCCTCCTCCTCCTCCTCCGCCTCCCCTCCTCCTCCTCCTCCTCCTCCTCCTCCTCCTCCTCCTCCTCCTCCCTCACCTCCTCCTCCTCCGCCTCTCCTCTCCTCCTTCTCCTCCTCCTCCTCCTCCTCCTCCTCCTCCTCCTCCTCCTCGTCCTCCTTAGGAATGACACGAGGAGTAGGAAGTCCAGGGCTCGCTAGAAACTGGCTTGCGTTCAAGAGACGTGCGAAACCCTCCCGGACCCCTGCGAAAAGCCTCCAGGAAAGGTTCTGGGCAGCTTTCCAGAGGGTCTCGGAAGGTTTTGGAAGGCCTTTCGGCCTGTTTGGGGGAACGCAGTCCCTAGCAAACCGAGGACTCGAGGCCTCCGATAGCTGGGGTCCGAGTAGACGGGGTCGGGGGATCGCGCCGCATCGCCGATGCATCGCCGACACTCCTGCGACGTCGGCGCTGCATCGGCGACGTCGGCGTCGAGAACATCGGGCTCCGCATCCAGCCGCATCGCCGATGCATTGGCGATGCGGCGCGGTCCTCCGACCGCATCTGCTCGGGCCCCATCTGGGGGGCCAAGAGTCGCGGGGCGGGACGAGTCATCGGCGGCGCGCGAGGGTCGAGCGCCGAGGTTCGAGTGCGACCCCTGGGGGCCGTTCTCGGGCCCCGAGGCCGCCGAGAACGTGGATCCGCGGTGAACAAAACCCGTCGGGTGGACCCCGAGGGGTCCGGGGACCAATTCTCTAATTAGCCGATATTCGGCGGCGCGCTCGGGGGGGGGGTGGAAGTGACAAGGGGAATGCCCTCTCGGAAGGCGGCGGGGCTTCTCAGGAGCCCTCCGGCCTTCCGAGACGTTGTCGATGTCTTCAGCGAAGGCCTAGGATGCTTCTTGGAGGACTGGGGGATCCCGAGCCTTCTGAGAAGGCCCGCCCCCTCTCTCGGGAGCGGCCAAGAGGGGGGTGTCCAAGAGGGGGGGGTGCAAATCATGACCGGCGGCACGTGCGCGGCCCAGCGGGGAAGCCAGGGACGCAGTGAAATGAGAAGAGGCGCCATGAAATCTGAGGAAATATCCTCCCCCCCCTAGTCCATCACCCCCCCTAGTCATCATTCCCCCCTAGTCATCCCCCCCTCCTTTTCCGCCCCCGACTCTAGTCATCACCCCCCTAGTCATCACCCCCCCTAGTCATCACCACCCCCCTAGTCATCACCCCCCCCTAGTCATCCCCCCCCTAGTCATCCCCCCCCTAGTCATCACCCCGCGCCCACGCCATGATATCCACCCCCCCTAGTCATCACCCCCCTCTTCTCCGCCCCCGACTCTCGCTTCCCCCCCCGGGCTGGCCGCCGAGAGCCGCGTCGAAGCGGGAGACTCGGATCGGATCGGAGCGTGCACCGCATCGGACCGCCTGGGGCTCGGGCCCGGCAGCGGCGGCGGCGGGGGGTACGCACGAGCGCCGTGCCTGACTACCTACCGGACCACCCCAACCCAACCCGAAGACCCGAATTTCGGGTTGGGGGGGGTAAGGGTTCCACATGTGTTTTTTCGATGCTCCCCGACCCCCCCCCCACTGGAAATCGAGGGAAAATCTGAGCCTTCGGGTTGGGCTGGGGTGGTTTGGTGGGTGGTGAATGCCAGCACGGGGCCGCAGCGGATCCCTGGAGCCTCGGCATCGAGGCGGCTCGGGCCGGGCGAGGTCGGCAGCGAAGCGGATCGATCGGATCGAGGTGGGCCCTGGCGCGGGGCTGAAGGGGCCCTAGGACACACAAATAGATACACACAAATAAAAGGATTCCCCACACATACACACACATTAATTGTGTCTGTGTGTTTCTTCCCCTCCTGAGGGGTGCCCCGAGGGGCGCTCCAGCGGGGCGCGCGCGAGCACGGACTGCGCAGCCGTGGATCGCACCGCGGAAGACCGGGGCCCGTGCACCGCACCCTGCCTGGGAGCCTGCCAGGGCCCCGCTGCAGCGCCGTGCGGTGCATCGGCTTGTGGCCCCGAGGGCCGAGCAGTGATCCGCAAAGCCCAGCAGCCAGGAGCGCCAAGCTCGAAGAGCAGGTCTGTTCGAGCTGTTCTGTTATATTTACTCCGTCCGCGCCACAGCTTGAGGGCCACACTGGGCTGGGCAGGCACCCAGAGCGAAGCGTGCAGAAGCTCGGGGTGCCGACAAGCCGAGAAACCTCCCCAGTTGTGCACCGCACCACTCCCCGGTCGAAGAGCGACGGCGCCTCGGGGGGCATCAAAATGCGGCACGGCGCACAGAAGTGGTCACGCGGAGTCCTGGCGCGTGGGCGCTGGATCAACGGATCGGAGAATGCAGTTAATCGGGGATGGACAGACCCCCCTTTAGCAAAACGTGGTTTAGTGAAAACGACCTGAGGCCCAAACCTGGCGGGCGCAAGCCTGGAAAATGACGGCCACGGCGCCCTCTCGAGAACCGAAAACGGACAATTCACTTATCGACGTGTCACTGTTGGGAGTTCAGTCCAGCCCAAAGTTAACCCCGAAGCCAGACCGCCGACGTCAGATTTTGTCATGACGTCGACGTCCAAAAGCCTCGACCCATGCCCTGGGACCGTCTTTTTTTCATCCTGAGCCTCTTGTTGACGGTCCCGAGGCCCGGCTCAGGGCCCCCAAGGGCCGAGAACAACGACAAGTGAACGTTTTCTTATTCGGCGTTTCGGCCATGGGCCGAAGAGGGGGGAGGGGGGGGGTCTGGCCCCCGACCCCTGCTTAATGCGGCTGCTTGCAGCAGTGCGTCCCATGATGGGGGAGCCTCCACCTGCTTGCAACGGGCGCCCAGACCCGCCAAGATCCAGTCCGTGGGGGCGGGGCGAGGGCGTGCGAGGCCCCGCGCCGCATCGGCAGAGCAGTGCGGGAGGCACAGCTTTCAAACATCACCGTCGTCATGGCCTGAGCACTCGCCAGGCACGCGGCCCGCTCCGCCCGCCTCGGCGACGGCGCGCGCCGGTCCCGCGCGGCAAGCGGGGCTCGTCGCCCGATGCCGCGCGCCCCGAGGAGCAAGGCGCTGCGCTGCCTCGGCCCCCGGGGGGCGCGGGCCGACGAGGCCGCCCGGCGGCCCCACGCGGCACCCTCGGCTCCCCGATCGGGGGAGCTCCTGGGCCGAGGACCGGGGGAGCGGAAACTGCTCGCTCGTTTCTCGCATGTCTCTTTCGTGTGGGCGTTGACTCCTCCTTTCTCTCGGGGAGTCGTAAGACCCGGGGCTCGGGGGACTCGGGCTGGGCTGACGGGGCCATCGTGACAAGGTGGAGACCCAGCCTGAGATGTGACGCGAACTCCCGCTGCAAGCATCCCACCGTAAGTGACCCGTCGAACTCCTGGGCGGGCTCGTCAACCAGCGCAGGCTCACCCGAGCTCTGGCGCACTCGAGCCTCACGTGCCCCCGATGCTGCATCTGGGTCCCCATCGAGAAAATAGCGAGCGAAAGAGACAAGATATCGTATTCCAGGGCGAGCTCGTCAACAAGCGCAGGCTCACCCGAGTTCCGGCTTACTCGAGCCTCACGTGCCCCCGACCCTGCATCTTGGTCCCCATCGAGAACATGGCGAGCGAAAGAAACGACAAGATCTCGTGTGCAAATCCTCTGATCTGAAATCTTAGCGTAGGCTGCCGGGGCCATCTGGAGGGTGCTGTCGGGCGCGCGCTTCGCTCCTGGCTCCTCCTTTTGAAGCCTTTGAGCCTTCTGGGGGGGGGGCAGGTCCTCGTCCTCGTCCTCGTCGTCCTCCTCCTCCTCGCTCCTCCTCGGTCCTCCTCGTCCTCGTCCTGGTCCTCCTCCTCCCCCTCCTCGCTCCTCCTCCTCCTCGCTCCTCCTCCTCGTTCCTCCTCCTCGCTCCTCCTCGGTCCTCCTCTTAGCTCCTCGACCTCGTCCTCGTCCTCGTCCTCGTCCTCATCCTCCTCCTCCTCCTCCTCCTCGCTCCTCCTCTTCGCTCCCCCTCGATCCTCTCCATCCTCGTCCTCGTCCTCGTCCTCGTCCTCCTCCTCTTCGCTCCTCCTCCTCCTCCTCCTCGCTCCTCCTCCTCGCTCCTCCTCTTCGCTCCTCGAGCCTGCACCGCGAGCTGAGGGCGTCGCCTCCTCCTCATCCTCCTCGAAGAGGGAAAAAGGGATCCGATGCTGCTCCACTCGCATGAATCCTTGCATGCGACTCCCTCCTCCCTCCCTCCTCCCTCCCTCCCTCCCTCCTCCTCCTCCTCTATCCCTCCTCCCTCCCTCCCTCTCCGCCTCCCTCCCTCCCCTCCTCCCTCCTCCCTTCTCCCTCCTACCTCCTCCTTCCTCCTCCCCCCTCCCTCCCTCCCTCCTCCCTCCCTCCTCCCTCCTCCCTCCCTCCTCCCTCCATCTTCCTTCACTCCTCCCCACGACGGGGTCTTCTGCGGAGTTCCAAGTCGGCTACGACATGCGTCCGCGGATAGAGAAGACATCAGCGCAACTGGAAGGGGCGGGAGGGAGGGATGTGAGCATAGGCCGACCGTCCCAGCATCTACATGGGCCTTCCACGGAATAGTCTTGGTGGAACGAGAGAATGTTCTAAGATCAAAAGCAATGTTCTCATAACATTAACCCGATACATTCAAACAAGCCAGTTTCAGCTAGAATTGTTCCAATAACACTTAGCGCAAACCAACATAGGTTCTCAGGACATTCCTCGGTGGGCTCATCGGCTAGCCAGGACGCTTCGCAACTGCTCGGGGAATAGGATGTCAGCTATGGCGCGAGCGCGCCTAGCTTGCCCTCAACCTCTCTCCTCAGGAGGGAGGAGGGAGGAGGAGGGAGGAGGAGGAGGGAGGAGGGAGGAGGGAGGAGGGAGGAGGAGGGAGGAGGAGGAGGAGGAGGGAGGAGGAGGTGGAGGAGGGAGGAGGAGGAGAGGAGGAGGGAGAGGAGGAGGAGAGGAGGAGGGGGGAGGAGAAGGGGGGGGGGGAGGAGGAGGAGGGGACACGTTTTCTTCTTCGGCGTCTCGACATTGGGCGGAAAAGGGGGGGAGGGGAGGGAGGTCCGGCCCCGGACCTCTGCGTAACGCGACTGCTTGCAACAGTGCGTCCCACGGGGGAGACTCCACCTGCTCCAAACAGGCGCCCAGAGCAGCCAAGATTTGCTCCAGGGGCGGGGGAGGGGGGGGGTGCGCGGCCCCGCGCCGATCGGCAAAACAGTGAATCAGACAACGATCACCTGCTGCGCTCGCCTTCGGCGCTGCCTCGGCGCCCACGTCCCCGACGGCCAGGACGGCCCCGGCCAGCCCACACCCGGCACAGAGCCGCGACGCCACCTCCGCGGGCGCGCGGGCCGAGGCGGGGATCTTCTTTCTGCAGCTGCTGCTGCTCATTCTGCTCCTTCGGTGGCAACTCATGGGAGCTTCTCGTACCATCTTGTCGGCTCTTGCGAATCGACGCTGGTCGACGCTAAACCGACGCTCATCGACGCTAAATCGACGCTAACCGACGCAAATCGGTGCTATCACATCGACTCCGAGAAGCTAATCGGCGCTAGTCGACGCGAAAGGCGGAACTAAGAGGGCACGCCAAGCTCCCATGACTTGCTACCGAGCACTCCTGCTCCTGAGTCAAGTGCTACTCTTGGGTCGGGCATGTCCCCCTACAGGCCTATGTTTTGACTATGTTTGAATCTTCCTCCTGCCGAGGGACACGCCCGACTTCGGGGATGGACAGACCTCCCTTTAGTAAAACGTGGTTTAGTGAAAACGACCTGAGGCCCAAGCCTGGCGGGCGCAGGCCTGGAAAATTACGGCAAACGCGCCCTCTCGAGAACCGAAAACGGACAATTCACTAATCGACGTGTCACTGGTGGGGGGTCTGTCCATCCCCGACGACTTGACTCTACTCCTGCGCCTCCGGTCTCCGGTCCTCTGTCCACCACTCCCTATGCCTCGACACAGCCGGGGCGCTGCCGTGCTGCCTGCCTCGGGGTGCTGGAGCCTGGGTCCCGCGGGGCGGTCGGCGGGTCCAGAAGAGCGAAGGGCGGCTGCGAGCCCGAGGAGGAGGAGGAGGAGCAGGAGGAGGAGGAGGAGGAGGAGGAGCAGGAGGAGGAGGAGGAGCAGGAGGAGGAGGACGAGGAGGAGGAGCAGGAGGAGGAGAAGCAGGAGGAGGAGGAGCAGGAGGAGGAAGAGGAGGAGGAGGGAGGAGGAGGAGGAGGAGGAGGAGGAGGAGGACCCCCACGAGGCAGCTGCGCTGTTCGCCCCCCAACTGGCGCGCGGTGCGCGGGGGCGGGGCGGGGGCGGAGCGGGGGCGGAGCGGGGGCAAGGCCGCAGCGGGGGGGGGTCTGGGTCGGCATGGAGTGCCCCTGGGGCCCACGGAGCGGTCGCGAGGCGGCGCTCACGAGCGCAAGCCTGGTGGTGCCCACGCATCCGTCGGCGGCGAGCGAGGGGGGGACATAAGAAGGAGAAAGCCTTTCCCAAAAGGCCCTCGCGCCTTCTGACAAGTTTTTTCTGTTTTCGGGGAAGGGTTCGAAGACTTCTTCGGACGGCCTGGGGACTTTCGAACCTTCTGAGGAGGCCTCCTCCTTCGCGCTTCCCGCCTCGCTCGCGGCCGAAGCAAGGAACCAGGGCACCATGCACGACGCGCACAAAACACATACGCAGACCCACACGGTTCCTCAATAGCAGCAGCGAGAAGCCAACCATCAAACTGTGGTGGGTCACGCTTGCATCCACGATTAAGCAAGGAACCTTCGTTCATAGCGGTGTACACTGATCGTGCTATCCCAGGTTAGGGGCAGACCGGACAGGCCAGGCTTCAAGGACGAACAGGCGTGAGAGGAAAGGGGCGATCACGCAAACGCACACACACACAAACATATATATACACACACACACGCACACACACGCGCAAACACGCAAGCACACGCACACGCGCCCTTGCATGCCCAGGCACACTGGCGGCTCACACGCCGGCGCGCACTACAGCACAGGCCTCAGTGCGGCACCAAGTCTGATAGGTCTGCTTACACCACGCGGCTTGTACACGAGAACGCAGCCCTGCGTGAGCGCACTAGCCCACGTGCGAAAGAGGCCAGTGTGCGCACAAACGGGCTGATTAACACTACCGGCGCAGCTTGAAGCCCACGCCTGCGCACATCAACAAATACAGGTAGACGATAGTAGCTTGGAGGTGAGAAGGTGTGAACTAATTTGGGAAGGAGGCAGGTAGGAGGTAGGAAGGTGGGGGGGTTACAACACATCACGTCTGAGTTGGGGCTAAAAATAGAGTGTATGATAGAGTATGATGTTTGCAGGTCGGAAGTAGCGGGCGATATAACAATACAGTGGATGATAGAGCGGATGATGTTGAGCAGGAAGTTTGACAAGGGAACGCAGCAAATAGGATGACCATTGGCCCTGTAAGAAGGGGTAAGACAGGATACATTATACATGGTCGATGGTCGACAGGTCCGATCAAACTAGCTATGAGTACAGGTAGGAGGCAGCAGGTAGGATGATAGGAGTACTCGTTGGATGAGAGCATGAAGGAACGGTGAAAGGAGGACAGGGCACAGGAGGCAAGAGCACAGCAATGAGTAAGGATGGTAGGAGGTGGGCCGAAGGCAGGACCACGAGCGGGCGGGCAGTTAGTTCGGAAAAAGAAGGTGCGAAGGCACTAGGACAGGAGACCGGGCGGCGGGCAAGTGAACAAGTCGGGTGGCGGACCCAAGCTGCGAGAAGTGGGGGGCGAGAAGAGAGCGATGGAACGCACCGCATGCCCGAGAGAAAGAAGCCCAGCGATCGAGATTAAGCTTGGGTCGGGCATGTCGTCCTACATGCGGATTTTGAACGAACAATTAAACAGACCCCAGAAGTGCTCAAAAACAGTTAATTATTCATCAACATATCGTCCCCAGACTATTTGTTTGGACTATGTTTGAAACTCCTCCTGTAGAGGGACAGGCCCGACTTCAGATTAAGCCGAATTCCCCCCGACCCCGCAGGGGACCCTCCGAACGCGTCTGCGCACCGCCGAACGTCGGCGAACCCGCCAGCCGACATCCGAACGGGTCCGACAACAAACTCCGACTGGGACTTCGACACACACATTGTGGATGCCACGAATATGGACACCCTAACAGTCCTAGCATTGAATTCAAACTGTGTTTAAGATGTAGGGAACATGTTCTAAACATGTTTTAAACATGTTTAAAGCATATTCCAAACATGTTTAAGACATGTCTTAGACATCTGGTAAATATTTGGCAACATGCTTCCTCTCCATTGATCGTCGTCCACAACACACACCGGGACACACTGGCACGCCCGAGAGGGAGCCGCAGCCGCGGGCCGGCGCACCAATCCGTGCCGGCTCCTCCCGACACCGCGACGTCCGGGCGTGCAGCAGGGCTGCACCCGAACGGTGTTTTAATTTTCGTTTTGCGTCGTTTTCCCTCGTTAAAGGGGGCACAGAAATAAATACACACAAATAAAAGGATTCCCCATATTTTCACATATTTTCTGGGTTTTCGTCTTCCCCCCCACTGCCAATATTTTCCCATATTTTCTGGGAAATCGACGATTAGTTGTGTCTGTGTTTTTTTGTTCCCTCCTGACTCGTTGTGTCTTCAATCCGCCATGATCCAAGATGCTCCTCAGCTAGGGGAACGAAGAATGACATAAACATAAAAACTCGGAGGTCCGCGCGGATTTCGCGGATCCGCGCTGGGCCCCCCTGGCGGCGCCTCCGGCGCCGCCCCTGGCGCGCTCCGCGCGCTAGGGAGGGGCGCCAGCGCGGTTCCCAAGAAATCCGCGCGGACCTGCGCGTTTTTATGTTTATGTCATTGTCCGTTCCCCGATCAATGGTCCTCGCCGAGCGAAAGATGCGCATGTCCGAACGATGCCAAATCGCACGAATACGCTCCGCGCAGGGCATCCGTGAAACCAACGCCCCGCATCCACGAGGCCGCGGCTCAGGGGCCGTGGGCTTAGGTCGGGCATGTCGTCCGACGGGCGGTTTTTTATATGTTTTTTTTTGGTGAAGGAATAAGCGCATATTGTTTTACCCCAATACAAACTCAAACATACTAGAAAAAGTCGTCCCCATCGTTTTGTGGTTGTCCTTGGATACTCCTCATGTAGAGGGACACGCCCGACGCAGCCGCAGGGTGCGGATCTGTTTTTCCCGCCGCGGGCCTCCGAAGGCGGGCCGCCGCAGAGGCCTCCGAGGGCGGGCCGCCACGAGGGGGCCTTGGCCCCCCGAAAGCGCGGGGCCTTTCGGGGGGCTCTCGGAGAGCTGCGGCCTCTCGGGCTGGCCATCGCTCGGACGTCCATTCCCTGTGTTTTTTTTGTGGTTTCGTGCGTGGTTTTTTGGCCAGATGATCAAGGATGCTCCTCGATGGTCCTCGCCGAAGGGCAAATGCACACGTCCGAGCGATACCAAGCGGGGCGCCGCCGCGCGGGATCGCCGCGGTTCGCGGGCGCGCGGCGGGCCTGCGCGATCTGGTGCGCGAGGTCCGCGGTGGGCGCCAGCACCAGGGCCGAGGGCCAGCACGCGGCCTCGCCGCCGCCTTGCACGGGGGCGCCGCGCTCCCGCACCCCGCGCGGCGTCCCTGAAGCCCCGATCGGGCGTCGGATCGGGCACCCGGTGGGCCGTGTTTTTTTATTATTTGTTTTGTTTGTTTCTTTTATTGTTGTATATATATATATATATAGATTCCTTTCCGAGGCTCGACATGCGGCCGAAGGGTGGGGGGGTGGGGGGGTCTGGATCTGGACCGGTGCGCCGGCAATCTGGTCGTACCAGCCGTGTCATCCATTTGGGGGGAGGGAGTGGGGACGCCTGCTGCAGCCCCGCTGCGGCCCGTCGACCCCGTGGGCCCCCCATTGCCGCCACGTTGGCGCCCATTGCCGCCACGTTGGCGCCCATTGCAGCCCCGCTACCGCCGGCTGCCTTCGCGCTGCCGCCCTCGAGGACATGCTTTGCACGGCCTTGCACTGCTTTGCACTGTTTTGCCCTGGAGCGCCTCGTTTCACATTGCTGTGCAAGGCGTTCCATGGCTTGGGACTGCGTTGTGTTGGTATGCCTTTGCATCGCTGCGACTGGTTTTGCAACCTTCTGCATGGCTATTCAATGCATGGCTATTCAATGCATGAATTGCTGCACTTGGCTGCACATTAAGTTGAAATGCATTGCGTGGTCATGCATGGTTTAGATTGTGTGGCATACTATGAGTTGCATTGCTTTGCATTGAAGTGGTTGGCTGTGTTGCGTCGCATTGTCTTCGATGCTTTTCCGTACATATCTTTGCAGAGGCATTGTTTCGCATGGTGTTGCTATGCTTTGCGCGGCGTCGTATTGATTTCCTTGCGGTGCCTGGCGCTGTATGGCTTCGCGGCGCTTTGCTCATGGTACAATTAAAGGCTCGCCGATTGGGGCCCCCTGGTACTCCCTGGAATCATCCCGTGCGTTTGTTGGGCGTCCTGGGGGCTTCGCCAATTTCTCCCCCTCCCTTGTCACTGCGTCTCCTCCTCCTGAAGTTTTCCGCAGGTGCCCTCTACGTATCTCGGTCGGGATTCCCATGGGCTCCAGACGTCATCACCAAGGACTCCTCTGAAACTTGGTGCCGCCTCGACGCCTCCTCTTCCTGCTGTTCCTCATCGATCCTCTTCGTCATCCCCATCGTCTTCCTCTCATGGCTGGCCAAACGCTGCTCTCAAATTTGTGCGCACACATCAGATCGGCTGAATCGGATACATTACCGAATCAATCGAGTCGGGCCCCACCGAGGGAAGTCGCCTTTGGGGGGAGGCGTAATCGAACCAATCGATGCCACGCTCGAACAGCGGCACACCTCACAGAACCATAATACAGTCAAGCTGTTACCGTCAGGCACTCTGAATAAGGAGCGACGCGCCCTTTGTCAGTGAAAGCGCGTGGGTGCACGAAGGGCGTAAGAAGAACAACCACGGAACATCCCAGGAACAGCGTGCCCCATCCGAACCTCAAATGGTTCTTACCTCGAGGTAGCTTAAGTGTGGCCGTCGACACCTCTCGCAAGGGGGAACGGTGAAGGGGACCAGCTCGGGGATGGGGGGGAACATCGAGCTTCGAATCGCAGAGGCATCGTCAACAAATTCGCGACAGGCCCCCGATGGGGAACCAGCACGTTCCTGGACGGGATGGGCTATCAAGCCCCCATCGGCGATCGATACGCGATCGAAGGTCGATGCGTTACCCCCCGAGCCAGGACCAGGACAACATCGGACCAACACTGATCGGGGACCTCTGAGACCCGTCGGCCCTGGAAGAGGTGTCGAGCGCTCTGGAGCGATCTATATCCCAGCCGTGGGCCCGCCCGACCACTACCCCCCCTGATCTCCAGAACCCCCCGCCTCCTCCTGGCAGCCAGAGCCGGAGATCTGCTGACCCGGGTCAGCCCAGACCCGGGGCCCGTCGGGCTTCTTGCAGGATGCTGCAGAATCCTGCAGGCTCGCGCACCCCGCTGGATCCCGCACCCGAGCCCGGGTCCAAGCACCCCTGGCCCTGCAGGATCCTGCGAAATCCGGCGCTCTGGCGGACTCCCGTCTGCATTGG